GTATACTGCATTTCTTTTTAAGAAGTCTATGATATCTTTCAGAAGAGGTAAACCATAGGAATCAAAACATACCACGTTACGGTCGTTTCGAAAGCATGTGGCAACGTAATGAGTTGCTGAACAATGGAATGTCTAATGCGTTGATGGCATAGGTTAGACCGTTTTTAGGTTTCTCAAAAGGTCATCTTTGCACAAATCACTGGATTCCAAGAACCTGTGTACGAACCGTGAGTCAGAAAATTTAATCTAAAACGAGTCTTAACTATATGCTTTGCAAACCGATCACTACATGCAGTTGAAATCATTTCGACGCGACGTCGAGATTGAAAATAATATCTTAGCATAAGTTTTCATGGTATAGGTATTTATTTATGGATTCATCATTGTTGATGTTCTGCTGAAAGCAAGAATCATTTTTATCTACGTTTTCTGGAACTTCTTTTCTGAAGATTTCTGTAACGAAAATGGTGTGGTCTTCGACAGTATCCTAGATTTGAGTGAGATAAATTATATCTACCAAAGCCACTTCTCAATGAGCTTCGTAATCTAGCTGTAAATACCAAAGTAACTTGTACACGAAACCATAATTTGTTGTTGGGAAACATATCACAAGAACTGTCAGTTAGTTAAATAAAATTGGTTATTCGTAATTTGATTGGTTTGGTTTCCTCTGAGGAATCATTCGATGTCAATGGATGCTTCCAAGGAGGGTTCTAGAAGATGACTGTAGTGATTAAAAGCAGTGTGACTGACATTGGCGTGACTAGAGCTGTTGTTTCTGCCCGTATATTTCAACGACAGCTTAAGAAAATAACCAGTACAACTGCCCAATAAAATAGAACACATTTGTTCATTACCTTGGTGCAAACTCAAATTTTCAATAGCTGACACAATAAACCGCAAAGATTTGGCACAACAAGACAATTTTTCTACAGCATATCCACTGTGGGTGTTGTTATTGCTGTTGTTGAACAGACAAACAATTATGAGAAGTAGATGCATTTGTGTTTAACGACATGGTTGTGACTTGTACTACTATTTTTTACCATATTTATTTCTTGAAGTCGATGATTTCCTACATCATGTGTTCTTCGATGGAGATTGTTTTCGATATCGTATAAGTCGCATTCTTTCTTAGTCACTCGCTGTAACTCGAGCAAGTAGAAGCTCCTTTAATAAGTTTATAATTGATATCATTCAATTAGGCGACAGGAGGTCCACGTGCACGTACTTTTCCTGTGACATGAAATAATCTATTAAGTAAATGTCTTTTTGTTCAAAATTGCGTTTTTTATTTGAACAACATTTCATTCTTTTGTCTAATATTTAACGTTCTGAACATTCGACTAAACACAATCACTCCGTTTTCTATTGGGGCACATCTGATGCTATGATGGTTGGGTTGATTGTAGGCTTTCACTAAACATAGTAACACATCGCTGTATATGAAAGTATTTTGATCTGTACATCGTTTCCATTCCATAAACGCTCATTTAACATTTTTATGAACGTTCAGTGACACTTGCTTTTTGTTTTAGGATTTACTGTTTTGAAAAACAATGTATGTTCATTTTTTTAATTCTTTGGTGAAGGTTGAAAAAGGCATTCGGTGCCTTTGCCTGCTTGCATTCGACCACTTTCCTTCAAGACAAGTTTTAAATCTTGCAGTGAGTCTGAACATGATTTAGAAGTCACAGGAACTACCCGAGCTGATTTTTATAACATGCTGATGACACAAAACACATATTTGTAACCACGATTGTGTGCGACATTTAATGAGAGACTAAATCAGATTGTCATTAGTGATCGATTCATGCAACTGGAAAATGTCGAATGGCTTTGGCTAACTAATACGCCAATTGTTCTTATAACTATTTTTTTACATCTTGAAGAGGTAAAGTTAATTTAATTAGCCTTCAAGTAGTTTATTAATTCTGTCACTAATTCAACCGCTATTCAAGATATCTCTGATGTTCATGTTTGATGTGTCAGACAAGTGATATGAATAATTATATGAACTTAGTTTCTTTTATCACTGTTGTATTTTCTAATTCATTTTCCCTCTTGCTGACAGCCCTATAGCTGTGACTGTCATAATGTTTGTTGCTTTTTTTATTTTCTTAGCTTTTCGAGACATTGTTTATATCTATCAGAGTAAGTTCAACCGTCTCGTCTAAGCGTTCTGATTACACAAGTGAAGTACTTGCGATAATTTTCCATTGCGTTAAGATTTTCTCCGTTTCTAAAAAATCTGTTCGATCAATTAACGATTGTAATTATTGTTGTAAATGTGGCATTCGGTGAGATGATGATTAAAATGTAAATGGTAATCATCGTTCGTACCAACGTTTGAGTTCCATCCATCGTTTATAAGGAACTAAGTTAATGTTCGTCCTTCCAAAAGATACAAGTGTGACAAGGTACCTATACAAGAGTACCTAAAAGAGGTTCTGTGATTAATCCAAGCAAAGAAGCAACTATTGTCAACGAACGAGCATTTGTACTTCTTTTGCCTAATTGGAATTATCTGTATAATTACTTAAAAATATCTTCCAAATTATTGTTTCGGTCTCTCCGTCAGTGGCATTGTTCCTTTCAACATGTTCAAACACCATTCACATATGATTCCTTGTGCTGTTCCTTTGAATTTATTGATTTCACTTCGGATCATTGGACTTGGCAACTACTGATCAAACAGCTCAATCTTTAACTAAACGAGGAGGAAGACATTTGTTTTCTTTCTTTTTTTTCGGAAGGGGGGGGTATGTTTGTCTGGACGATCATGTTAACTTTGTCAAATCTTTCTTCAGAAGGAAAACTAAAGCCAATCTTGTTAAACTCATCTAAGTTTATACCGGAATTCGGTTCCACGAGTTGTCGGGACGTCGTATGAACTTGAAATTTAGGTACTACTTGAGTTCTCGACGACCTAAATCGCGCATGTTCTTGTTTGGATAAATCGAGTATAATATGCACTATGCCTGTTATATTGTGTACTTTTATTTTATGCAAGGACACTTGGTTTGTTTTATATCATCAGCAGAAGACATCGACAGTGTAGAAGTGTCTTTAGAATTCTCTTCTATTTCTTCAGCAAATGAAGAAATTCAAGTTTCAAACTAGATTTAGCGGACATAATCAGTAACAGATGGAAATGAATGAGTGACGATTACAGAGCGAGTGTTTCGTGAGTAAATGAGTTATTTTATTTTGAGGTTTCGTTTTAGAGTGTTTTGTTTTGTTTTGTCTTTTCGGGTCTTGTTTGTTTGGATTGCACATTATGATTCAACTGCAAGAGTGTAAAATGGAAGACCACTCCTAAAGAGCCACTTCCACCTGATTTCAGAAAGACGTTTTATATTTGAAGTATCGATCATTCGATCAACCAGGTGTGACAAAACTTTTTTTTCTCAAGAAATAAAACGTTTTGTTTGATGTTGTATGTGAATGACACCAGCTAGTAATTGATGTACTGTCAAAGTAAACTATCCCAACTCTTCTTTGAGAATGTCTTTTAACAAATGTGAACGCGCTCGTGCGTTTTATATTTCTTCACTAATTATATACAGTGCACGAACAAATTTGGTAGTAGGATAAGACTGAAAAGGTTTGTGCTTAATATTGTCGGCAATAAAAGAACTTTCGTCAGTATTTTAGATAAACGAGGTAGTTAATGCATAAATGACTAAACTTTTTTCACACCAATCGTGAAACAAATCGGTACGAAATCTCAGTAATCAGGAACTGTACACTAGGTTTTAAATTGATGGGTAAATTACTATGTGGAACACTAGGTTATAAATCGATAGGTAGATTGCTATGTGGAACACTATGCTATAAATCGATGGGTAAATTGCTATGTGGAACAAAAGGTTATAAATCGATGGGTAATGCTATGTGGAACAATAGGTTATAAATCGATGGGTAAATTGCTATGTGGAACACTAGGTTATAAATTGATGGGTAAATTACTATGTGGAACATTAGGTTATAAATCGATGGGTAAATTGCTGTGTGGAACACTAGGCTATAAATCGATGGGTAAATTACTATGTTGAACACTAGGTTATAAATCGATGGGTAAATTGCCATGTGGCAATTGAGTATAAGTACCATACGTGTTAATGTTAACAAGGTGTTTCTAACTGCTTTGCCAGGCAATCTGTTCCTAACTGTTTTGCCAGGCAAGGTGTTCCTGACTGCTTTGCCAGGCAAGTTGTTTCTATCTGCTTTCGCAGGCAAGATATTTCTATTTTGCCTGACAATGTGTTCCTAACTGCTTTACCAGGCAATGTGTTCCTAACTGTTTTGACTGGCAATGTGTTCTTTACTGATTCTTCTGACAAGGTGTTCCTATCTGCTTTGCGAACATTTAAACTTGAGATCTATCTCTTGGCATTTTAATCAGCAAGACATAATATGTATTGAGATAAAAATGATAAAATCCACACGCTCTCTTTACGTAAATTTCTACTTGCTGGAAAAGAATTTCTGTGTTTTTTAAGTTGCTTATATAATGCTTTTCGTGATCGTTTTCATTCTGCTTTTATTTGGCCTAAGTTCGAGATATCACCAAGGCATGAGGATGTATGTTTCATCTCTTTATACAAAGTCCCTCTCTACCTGTGTCTATCACAATGATTTTCCATAGTTTAAATGTCTACATGACAGAAAACTATGTAATTTAAATTTTGCCGTTTCAGACCATGCACAGTCACAATTTTAAAATATGTCACAAATAATCAATTAACATAAATTATGCTGTTCCAATTCATAAATGACAGTTTAATTTTTATTGTGCAATAAATTTTAGGTTACTTAAATCAATAAATAATGTTTAAAAATATAACATCAATTTTATGAAAGTAATCAATGAAAATATCCTTATCCCTCCATACACACTTCAATATCCCACAACTAGCTGTCAGTGAGAATTGAAACATTTAATATTTACTACAATTTCTACACCCTTTTAATACCATTTTTATAAATCTTTGGTATGACTTGACCGGGCTTCGAACCCGCAACCTCCAGCATCAGAGGTAGACGCCCTAACCACTAGGCCAACCGAGCGATCATTAATATATGCTTTGAAACTGTTAATTAAAATTCAACGGTATTTCTTTGATATAGAAACATGACATTCTCGCTTGTTATTATATTCTTGAAAAAAATTGAATGATAAATTTGAAAAGTTTCACTCAAATTCACTATTAATTACTATAAACTATGAATTGTGAAGATACCAATCTCAAACTTTTCAAAAATACCTGCATTATTATCAAAAATTATGTTTTACAAATAAGGCACTTCAACCATGTTTACCACCTACTGTGTGTGTACCAAACCCTCGGGGAAGTCTCGGTATTCATTTAATCGTTGTGGTAGGTCAGATATTCGACTCCGTCCTCATTTTTACATGAAAATAAAATGCTGTCTAGTCACTTTTAGAAACTATCACTATTTTCTAAGTTGGCACTTATTTCGCTTGCCATTGATATTTGATCTACTCGCCAGGGGATTCATTTCTGGATCTTTGTACGCTTGGACTTATTTAATTAGCTATGGATTTTATTGCTTCAACAAATACTTGAAAAGTACATTCACCATTACATTATGACTTGACATAATATATCAAATACTAGACAATAAATTTACACACATAACGCTTGAACAAAACATTGCGAAGTTACTGACGTGTTAGTACGAAAGAACCCCAATACCATACTGTAGACTTAAAATTTTCAGCCTTATTTACGATTGATCCATCTATTCGATTTTTGATTTTTTTGTTGTTGTCTTGTTTTGTATTTTTGTATGGTTTTCTTTCCACTTGTAAATGTTTACATATAATCGTCTCTCCCTGGTCAGTGAAGTTGTTTTGGACATATGCGTCTATCTGTCCATTCGTCCATCAATTTTTCTGTCCTTCCTGTGCCATTTCTTTTCTATTGATAATATTGTGATTATTCATGCCATACATCAGATATATATATATATATATATATATATATATATATATATATATATATATATATATATATATATATATATATATATATATATATATATCTGATGTTTTGTGCAATTCAACAGTATTGCTGTTAAATGTATCCACTAGAATGGGCAAGTTTTCACAGTGTCAAAAAGTACAAAATATTTTGTTTGTTTATTGTTTTCCTTCCCAAACCTTTAGAGGGTTACATTTGGTAAACAAATTCGCTCCCCCAAGTAGTTATCAATATTTAGGGTGGCAGAACTTTGATTTCTTACACACCTCACGTGAGAGGTTCATTAACTAATTATTTTCCTTGTGTTGTAATTTTTAAATTTCTATACTAGATAACGACTGGTCACCCACGGATAAAAACCGTTGTTTAAGAAACAAAACTGGTAATAACGTGGAAGAAAATGAATTACGATACCGCACCTCATAATTTGAAATTTTTGATACAAGGTGTTCTAGAACGGCCGGTGCCTTGATGATTCATGGACAAAAACATAAGAACGTGTATTTAATTTACCCATATTTTAGGAGACGAGTTTTGTCTTTTGACGCAGAAAGTCCCACATATCCCTTTGACCTTTAATATGATGTACAAAAACTAAAGAGTCATTTTTCATGCGTACAAAATTTCCAAGAATCATAGTTGTTTACAACATAATCGGTGTGGGGGTAGTCATGGTTGGGGTACGGTGTTCCTAATGCTTTGTTAAAACTATTATAGAAGTCTCAAGCAGGCTCTATTTTGTTGGAAGTTAAATTTAGTGAAATATACATGTAAAGCTCTGACCCCCCCCCCAGTCATCAATGCCCAGTCAGTCAGCAGTCATCAATGCCGGCGGTTAGATGGTTAAAATATATAAAAAGGCTGAAATTTAAAAAAAATAACAATTTAATAACAATTCAATAATCAAATGACTCAAATTTCCAATTACACTCCTTCAGCTCGACCCTTTAATAAGCCAATTGCATCACTTGGTTAGCAATGTGAGATTGATTTCTACCTGTCCTCGTATTTATACTCAGCTGGTTCATCCTTTCCCTCTCTTATTTCTCCCACTTCCTTCTCCTCTTCCTCCTCGACTTTTCTCCAGATTCCTTCTCCTCCTCTTCCACTTTCTCTAGACTCCTTCTCCTCCTCCTCCACTTTTTCTACCACAACTACTCTTCTGTCGACTTTAACTGTCGCGGCTACAGTTTAAATTGGGTCTCCAACTCTTGAAGAGTCGGGACCCAATGCAACCCGAAGTTCTGTGTCCCTTAAAACACAAGGACAGCTCAATATTTTTTAATTAGCCCTCTCATCTCACACTACACACAGCATATTATCAGATAACGGATATTAAATTTCTTGCACGGTAAAACAAACGTCTTAAAAAATGCACGGTATCAATTACTTCTCATATATACATCAATAAATTCCGTCAAATCAATACATATTCCTATACTAAACAATGTCGCAATAATCAGACGCATTTCTTTACTTTAAAACTCATACAAAGTACACACATATTAAAATGTCCATGCTCTGATACACGCATACGTTCATAGTAACTAATCTTACATACTTCAACCACTTTTCCAAATTCACAATTCACATTAATTCTATTATAACGCATTAATTAATGCACTAGATTACTACGAAGTAATCTAATAGAGAATTACAAAATTAATTCTGACCACAAAATAACAATCAACATAATTTCGCCTCGCATCTAATAATTTTCTACGTAGGCTCAAGCCAATCTCTCAAATACGCATGTAAATGAAACCCTACAAAAGTAATTCTACATGCTAAACGATTATGGTAATTAAGTATACATACTACAAATAATAGCAATTATTATGCCGTAATATTCTGCAAAAATAGAGCATTTCACTTACTGACCTTTCGAAGCTTTGTCTTTTCTTTGTTTTGCCGCCAAATTACGAGTGGCGTCGTTCTCGGAATAACCCTATTGATCTGCAATCCCTCTAGGCAAATACAAGCTTTTCGCTTACGAGTTCTAAAAGTTATCATTCAGCCTGCATTGTAAGCACACCCTCTATCTCAATTTCGATTGGATATCGTTGTGAACCGATCCAATTAAACTTAGCGGACAATGTCCCTCTCGGATGCGAACACGCCCAGCCCAACCCGCGTGCTTTCCTTTGATCTTTGGACTAAGCTTTGACACATAGGGGTGATAACTGCAAGCCTTTGTTTAGATGGTGCGATCTCTCGCCTTTGCGGATGCAAGATTCAGGTCTCCGACTGGTCACGAAACATTGCGTAAGAGTTCAGCACCATAGCTTATACATTACTTTATAGCTGGTGCTTAGCAAACACGACATTCAGTAATCTGTCACTGGCAATTGTTTACTTTCCCTGTCTGACGAGTAAACACCATCTTGATACAATTCTTACGAAAATTAAACATAAAAAACGTAAATTACAGTGGACTTAACAATATATTATGTACCAATGTTCTGGGTGAAAGATGTGAATTTGGTATGTCTTGTATCGTGTTTGGTTGATGTTGCCATCAGATTGTATATGATAAACGATGGATGGACCTTTTGATATTTAGCCCTGTCTAAAGAAGTGACCTCATGATCACAGAAAAGCGTTATTTCGTCCTCAAGATTGCTGAATATCTGTATTATTTGGTAATTTCTAACTTTCTTTCTAATTATTTCCTACGGTTGGGTGATTTAGATACATATCGTACTCTTATATTAATGACAATCCACCACATTCAACCTTCCAGGTCAAGGTTTAGATTGAGCGGTCATTGTGTTCCACACCTTTCTTTCAGGATTAACAATTCAGTAAACACTTCCATGAGGCCGATGTCGATTAATTCGCTTTTGCTAGATATTCTCACTTAAAACTAATCAAACTGAACCACAAACAAAAAGAAAATAATAACACCTCGATCATATCGGCCAAAATACTTTTTGCAATTCTTTACCAAAGTCAAAGGTTGATTCACTAGCATACTAAAATTTATTGTAAGAGTCATAACAATGAAATAGGTCGTGGGGATTATAACTAATTATTGAAATAAGTTCTGGAGAATCCTCCTGTGCATCAATTTACCTGAAGTATTTACCTTGTTTCGGCGTTCTCGTGAACTAGAATAATGAAAACGAATATTTGCAACCTGGAATTTCATTATCTTCTTCGGTAAATATTCAGTATAAATATAATGTTGCTCACTCTGTCTCTTTCTCTCTCGACCTTTCATGTATTGTCAAATTGCATTAAAATCTATGGAAGAAGGAATTGTCCCTCGTGCACTAACCGGAAAAATCCTTAATGTTGATAGAAATTGTAGTCCATGCAGACAAAAGAGATCCTAGAATCTAACATGTGGTCCATTAACCATTCTAGGGATAAAGTGGAAGGGTCGGATATGCAATTAAGGAAAGAGATAGGGTTCTTTTGTTGGGTTACGTTGATTCATCATGAACAGGTATTGTGAAGAGAAAAGCATTCGCAAACTTTTATTCATCAAGGGAAGTAAGCAATATAGAGATGGAATTAAATACTCTCTCTCTCTCTCTCTCTCTCTCTCTCTCTCTCTCTCTCTCTCTCTCTCTCTCTCTCTCTCTCTCTCTCTCTCTCTCTCTCTCTCTCTCTCTCTCTCTCTCTCTCTCTCTCTCTCTCTCTCTCTCTCTGTGAAGATCTAGATCTTTGTAAGCTAATAGAATGAATCGCCTTCTTTGACAATGAGATAATTCATTTGTAGGCACAGGAGTTTTCTTCCATTACATAGTATGCCATTTATATCTGATAATAATAATAATAATAATAATAATAATAATAATAATAATAATAATAATAATAATAATAAGAAGAAGAAGAAGAAGAAGAAGAAGAAGAAGAAGAAGAAGAAGAAGAATAATAATAATAATAATAATAATAATAATAATAATAATAATAATAATAATAATAATAATAATAATAATAATAAGAAGAAGAAGAAGAAGAAGAAGAAGAAGAAGAAGAAGAAGAAGAAGAAGAAGAAGAAGAAGAAGATGTGATGTAATTGTGATTTTTTACGTAACTTTAACAATTTT